CGGGAGGCTGGGGGGGGGGGTTGGGTTTGGGCGGGGAGGGGGGGGGAGGGGAGGTAAATATTTGTAATAGCTTTTTTAAAATTTTCAATAAAAATAAATAAAATAAACTATCATGACAATGTAACTAAGCTCAGAGGGAAGGGAAAAAAGAAACCCCATTCATAATTTAATATGGAACTGGATTTGTTCTGCAGCTTTTTGATCTAATCTACAAATGATTTTCAAAAAAATAGAATAATTGGAAAGTTATTGAAACCCTAACTTCGGGGAGGGAAAACACATGAAATATTGGATATTCATTATAAAGCCACCTGAATATCATAACTATGAATCAGAAAATTCACTTAGAAGTAAAAGTGAGTTGCTTCATAACACTCAACGATAATATCCATGAAAATCTAATATCCTCTTAATAAGGAGATTAAACTCACCTAGTTTCAATCTCTATTGAGACTCTGGGATAAAGGTGAGAGAATGAAATGTAAAGTGGGACAGATAATCCAATGCTAATTGAAATTACTTAAAAAGCACTGATAAGGGCTAACAGACAATGATGTGAGCTTAATTCTAAAGAATAAAGTATTCTGAAATAGACCCTCCCAAACATTGGCATTGCAGAAGGTATTGGAGACTGCAAAACCTCATTTTACCTAGGAGTATTTTTTTTTACCATTAGGGAAAATTGTGAGAGCAGGGGAATATTCTTTATATGCTGTCATTGTGTCTGTTTCTCATCTATCCTATTATTATTTAAATGACCTTCTGTATTTATTTGCTTATTCAATTTATAAAGCTACCGATTTCACAGCAAAGAGTCTGGGAGAAATACAAAGATTAAAACTACAATAACAATAAAAATGCATGACATATTAGTTCATTAATAACCCCTAAAGCAAAATCATATCACTCACTTAGCTCACCTAACTGCCTGGCCTTAAAATTGGAGGAATATACAGTTCTCAGAACCCTGCAAAAGCTAAAAGTATTGGGGCCATCTGGATAATGGGGAAATGCTGTTCCATAGGGCATGTGTAGCCACAATAGGAAAATATCGTTTGATGGAAGGGGTCCTAAACATTCCTCCATGCTGGACTTGGTGAGACAGGCAAAGGGGACAGGCAAAAGCAATGGAGGACAAGTTGTCCAGCAAATAGCCTGATCCTACACCATATAAGGCTTTTCAGTTTTTACCAGAAACTTAATTAAATTTAGTAGTCTACTAGTGCTTTCTGCATGAATCATGAAATGCCAATAACTGCCCCTGACACTTATTCTGGATCAGTTTTAGCTAGTCCCTTTCAAAGTGAGAAGTCCCTGAAGCATGTCACTGGTAGCAATAACTCCTGGGGCAAGAATAAGCAATTGGGACAAGAGAAGAACCTGTGCAAAGCCTCTCCCTGCTGTCATCACCATAGCTGCTGTCTTCTTTTTGATCCGACAGCAGCTATGATGGTGAGTCCATAAGGATGCCAGTTCTGATTTGAAAGTTCACCTTTCATCAGACATTAAACGAAAAATCCCACACAAAGCACAACCCTCTGGTTGAACCAATGTCTTCTATTTTTTTTTTATTAAAAACAAACCTGATTGGAACAAACATGGGAGAAAGGAAGAGAGCCATTGTGCATCATGCCTCCTACTCCTTATTTCCTGAGATGGTCGAGAAGGCCATCAATGTTATTAAAGGCTGCTGAGAGAGCATGGTCAGTCAAGATGGATACTCTACCCACACCCTGAACCCTGAACCTAACAAGCATGATCAGTGTCGTCTCGGGCTTATGGCCAAATCCTGACTAAAACATGATTCTCTTTGAGAGACAAAAAGAATTTCTTCACCCTCACACTCTTTTCAACACGTAGTTTAGATTTGAAACGAGACTTTCCTGTCTTGATTTATTTATAAATGAATATAATTTTACTACATTTATTTAATGCAATCCATTTCTGCTACAAATGTCAGCTATCATTCACTGTCCATTCAAGTCCATATTCCACATTCAATATGAAATAGGATATTTTAGTTTCGTAGCACTTTTTAGCACCTTGTTTACATTCAGGAGCATATCTTCTAGCAAGGACATCTGTTGAACTGAAATTTCCAGCATTATCTTCAATTGCTTAAAATGCTATGAATTGACAATCAGACACAGGTTTGCATCATTCTGTCAAGATGCAGATTTCATCACTGGCCTTTCTCTACATATCCCAATGACCAGAACATCTGTGCCCAAAGATCTGAAAAAATGATTGCATCACTTTTGACAATTGATTCCTCTGAAATTAATATTATTTGCAGAGAATATTGACAAGTCCATAGTAAAACCCACTAAGAAAAACTATTTAATAGCTACACTTTTAAAGATCTATTTGTTGAAAAATGAGGTAGTTATACCAATCAATCCAAAGAAATAAAATAACTGATATTCTGACAAAGTGCTAAATTCCTGAATAAGACAGTAATTGAGAAAGAATAATTATGGTACTATCAATTCATCATTATTTGTAATCATTATTCAAAAATAATAATAGTATGCTTGTCAAAACTGAATGTAATTTTGTGGTTTGAGAATTACATTTTGTGCCGCATTATTCTATTATGCAACCCTCCTTGTAATTTGCAAAATATATTAGCATATGTTTAAGCATAATATGTAGTACATTAATACATGCATACAAGTGTATATAGAGATGTAAAGAGACAATATGTTAGGGTTAATCATGGAAATTATTATATGGTAAGCAGTGTTAAGTGCTGAAACTAAAAAAAAAAAATGATAACATATATTGTGGGGAAAATGGCTTGGGAAGAGTGAAATATAAAATATGATGCTTAATCTACTTTCTTAAAGTATTCCGAATTCACATTTGTGCCTTTTATTAGTTTTGTATTCTAATAAGGCTTACACTTCCATTTGTCAGAAACTGACAACTATCATTCATGACTATTAAGACTACCGTATATACTCGAGTATAGGCCGACCCGAATATAAGCCAAGGCACCTAATTTTACCACAAAAAACTGGAAAAGTTATTGACTCGAGTATAAGCCCAGGGTGGGAAATGCAGCAGCTACCGGTAAATTTCAAAAATAAAAATAGATACCAATAATGCCATTGCCCATTGAATNCAGTGAATTCTCCGCGCCAGGGATTTTTTCTGCCTTTTTGCAGAACGAAGGCCACCATACGTCCACCCCCAGCTCAACGATTGATTTATACTTGATTCCAACACGGGCAGACAAATACCGGAGAACTTCTAATTGTATGTATTACAGACTTTAACTCCATTTTTCTAAAAATTCCTTGTGATAAACTACGTGGAAGAAAGACAAAGATGGCGCCGAAGAGTTTTGTAGGTGTGATTGTGCTGTGATGTTATAGACTTGGAGACATGGAGCTCAAACTATTATAGAGTTCAAGATCATCTAAAGATCATTAAATCAGTAGTGATTTATTAGTAAACTACAGAGTAATTACTGGAACAAGCGGCTTGCTTGGATTTATTAACTGGGTGCAAGGTAAGATTAACTGAGGAAATGGCTTCTAAGCAAATTAAACCGAGTAACACCTCGAAAAGCGCTGGAAATTCACCTGCTCCGACAACTACAGTCATTACTCCCCACCACCCCAACCCCCTCCTACTCCTGCTATGGAAACTTTGACTCGAGAAATATTGCAAAAAGTATTAAATGATGCTTTAAAAGATCATGCAGCCACGATGGAAATTAAAATACAGGAAAAGATTTCTTTTGCTTTCAAGGAGTTGTCGGAAGAAGTCATGGATTCGGTCCAGATTCGTAATCAAGAAATTAAAGATGATATTTTAGAGGATTTTAAATGCTTATCTGGCTCTGTATCAGGAATCGAGGATAAATTGGAATATCTTAAAATAAAATAAAAATTTGCACTCTGCAAACCTCCCAAAAACGCCCCGTTTTTCGTGAAAACGGGCCTGTTTTTTGTCCAAAAAAAGGGCATGGATAGCCTTTAGGAGGCTTATAGAGTGCTCCTGGGGGTGCAAAATTTCTGCCCTCCCCAGCCCCCAGGAGCTCCCCGAAAGCCTCCTACAGGCTATGCACAGCCACTTTGGTGAAGGGGGCGGGGTTTCGGGAGGCAAAAAATGCTGTATTCAGTGTATAAGACGCACCCAGACTTTCAGCCTCTTTTTTGAGGGGGGGAAAAGGTGCGTCTTATACTCCGGAAAATACGGTATGCGTGGTGCTTACCCTGAAAAAGTGTAAGTGGCCGCGATGTAGATGAAGTTTTCGTAATACAACTGCTTGCTCTCTTGGAAGTCATTCATGCAGCAGGTGACTTCGGACGAGCCGGCCCCTTTGACGGTCAGGGTGACGTAAGGCGGGAGAGTGGGCTCGTCCCAGGCGTAGTCTAAAGTGGTGGAGGGCTTCACTTCGGTGCTGAGACGGGGCTCAGCCACGCCGTGTTGGCTGAAGACGACCGGGACCTAGGAGGGAAGGTGCGGAGAAGAGCAACTCAGAGGATTAAAGGTGTTTGTGGCCCGTCAGCGGTCAGCAGAGTGAGGAGATTGGGGAGGAACGTGGGCCAGTCTTGGGAGTCTGGAGAAGGCTCGGACGAGGGCTGTGCGTCGGAGGCAGAGAGGGGACCAAGCCCGTCTGGTAGTTATTTGCTGCCTCACTGACATCAGCGAGGCAGAAGAACAGCGGGAGCCTGTTCCCAGTGTATGCGCAGAGCTGCCAGAAGGCGAGAACAATTAAGCAAACAGGGTCGACGTGGGTATTAAGGCTTGGAGATGATTGGCCCCTCCCATAAGACATAAAAGAGGAGCGAAGGGGATGTGAGCTTTTGCAGGAAGCAATTAGTTCGTTCTGGTCGGTTTCGAACTCTGAGAAGGTCTGTTGGACTCTGTGCTCAGTCGGGCCTTGCTCTGCCTTTGGCAATGAGGTCTCTGGGCAGCATCCCCAGGGAGAGAAGGCGGGCGTTTATCAACATTCCCCTGAAAGACTGTGGCAACTCGAGCAGGCATCTGTCGGAACCTTCACTGGCGCTCTACGTGGGGCTACCCTTGAAAAGTGTTCGGAGACTGCAGCTAGTCCAGAATGCGATACTGGGTGTACCTAGGTACCCCCACGTTACACCTATCCTCCGCGAGCTGCACTGGCTACCTATTGGTCTCCGGACGCAATTCAAGGTGTTAGTTATCACCTTTAAAGCCCTGCATGGC